TGAGGGCGTCTGATCACTGAAACAAATAAGGGAGCATGTCTGGGGGTCCTTGAGGGGATGAAGGCCATGTTTGAGGGGGCATGAGGGGATGGAAACACTTGGAAAGGATATGGGTCTGTTCCCAAGCGGGTGGAAGGGGCAAATCTGGGGATCCCCGAGGGTTTGGTGGTCCCTGAGCAGTGCTAGAGATCCCTGAGAGGTCATGCCCAGGTCAACCTAAGCATTGGTTGTTCATTCTTTCCCAGCATTAAAATCCCCTAAAAACCTCTTTTATTCTTGTACTTGCTTCTGAATTTTAAGGATAGTGACAGAGGACTTTTCAAAGCACGGTTATCCAGTGCCTTGCTGTTTTAATGACTGGGTTTGCAGTGAGGCTGCGAATATTTCAGTTACTTTTTTGCCATCCCATCCAAATCCCTTTTCCCCCTCAGGTACGTGGTCCTGACCACCAAGCACCATGAGGGCTTCACCAACTGGGGGTCACCGGTGTCGTGGAACTGGAATTCTGTGGATACAGGACCCCACCGAGACCTGGTGGGAGAGCTGGGAGAAGCCCTCAGGGAGAGGTATGGCCCTGCCAGAGGGTGGTGAATCCTCCTGGCTGTGCTTGACAAACAGCAGAAAACAATGTGRAAAACGGAGTGCTTGCAAATAATTAAAAATAATAATGCTGCTAATCTAATTTCCACTGGTTCTCAATCCCCACTGGAGCCTAACTCTTCCATCTGTGTTTTGTCCTTCAGCAATCTGCGTTATGGGCTGTATCACTCCCTGATGGAGTGGTTTAACCCCCTCTACCTCGCCGACAAAGAAAATCACTTCAAAACCCAGAGCTTTGTTTCAAAGAAGATGATGCCAGAACTTTATGATCTTGTCTTAAAGTAAGAGCCACACCTCGTTCAGGATCACCAGCATTTCCTGGTTTCAGTTSTGCTGAGAAAGATTCAGAGTGGGTGTGAAGAAGAGAAATGTTAATTTTTGCCAAGGGAAATCCCTTTGCTAACCAGTAATGATTTGTGATAATTAGAAAAGGGGTTCATTTGCCCTGTGGAAGGTCTAATCAGAATAAGGGAGGGATAAATTTTTCCTGCAAAAGCAATTCTGCCTTTGTGCAAACTGCTCAATATTTAGTAGAATAGAAGATTTCACTGTGAATTTGCATTTTTTTCTTGCTTACCCTTGCTGACAAAAATACAAGGCTTGGGCTTATGGGCTGTCCCAGCTCAAGAGTGTGCCTTATAATTGCCTTTGAGGTGCCAAATTCTGTGGTTTTTTTGGAAGAACTACATCCTCTCTTGAGCTGTGGATCAGCACCTTGTTCTTTGCTGCTGCAAGAATCAGCGTCACTTAAAATGAGGTGTGAAAAACCTCCTGGTGATGCCAGGCAGTGGGAAGGGGAGGTGAAATGATTTCACACCCAAGAAACAAGTRTGGCAGGAGAAAAARAAARCCATTTTGAAACMACATTGGTCTCTCTTAGATACAAACCAGATCTGATTTGGTCAGATGGAGACTGGGAAGCTCCAGATTCCTACTGGAATTCCACCTCTTTCCTTGCCTGGCTCTATAACGACAGCCCTGTCAAGGTACTGGTGCCTGCTGTCCCCTCGTGGCTTTGGGTGGGTGTGGAAGRTCAGGAAACTGGGAGATGTGAGTGTGATAAAACTAAAAACCTCCTTGACATTTGCCAGATGTGTTTTATTGTCTGACAAAAAAAAAAGAACCTTGGTTGGGCTCCTGTGACAGCTCCCACTGTCCTTTGCAGGACAATGTGGGAGGCTCAGGCTTTGTTGCCTCTGCTCCTGTGTGAGTGAGAAGAGAGCAGTTCTCCCAGAGAGGGATTCAGCCTTCTTGGAAAGGTTTCCATTACACASAGAATTTTTAGGTGCTTCCTCAGGGGTGTGACTGCAAGCTGAACAGCTCAGGAACAAAAAATTCTGTGCCCTGAGCTGTTTTTCTCCTCTCAGGACACTGTGGTTGTCAACGATCGCTGGGGCCAGGGCTGCTCCTGCCATCACGGGGGTTTCTACAACTGTGCTGACAAGTACAGGCCAGGAACTCTGCCAGGACACAAGTGGGAGATGTGCTCCTCCCTGGACAAGCTCTCCTGGGGCTATCGCAGCAACATGAACCTGGCTGAGGTGATGGATGAAATGAGTATGATTGAGGTGAGGAAGCTGAAATCAAAATAACCTGCGGGAGGATTAGTGGAAATTAGAGGCTTGTGGAGGAGATGATGAGGATAAAACTCTCCTGGATTTCTGTGTTGTCAGAGCTGAAGATAATGCGCTTTGTTATCTTGTTTTATCTGCCACAGGAGCTGGTGCAGACTGTGAGTTTGGGTGGCAACTACCTCCTGAATGTGGGGCCTACAAAAGAAGGGGTGATTGTCCCCATMTTCCAAGAAAGACTCCTGGCCCTTGGGAGGTGGCTGGACACCAATGGGGAGGCAATTTATGAATCCCAGCCTTGGAGGGTGCAGATGGAGAACACCACAGACACTGTCTGGTAAGGACTCTGCTGCTCAGACCAGCTGAGCTGATGTTTATTTCTCTTTTTTCATTAATTTGGTACACTCTGACATCTTGCCATTGGGATTTCATCCATCTTGCTTCAGCAGGAAAAAAACAACCCTTTCTTTAGCAAATGTTCACACTGTGGCTGTCAGGACTGTTTAAGTAGTGGTCCTGGCCAGAAATTCCTACAAAATTGAGTTGGTTTTATTTCCTCGAGTGTATTGAGGCCAGAAATGTAGAGCAGGGATCAGAATGAGTCTGTGTATCCGCCCTGGCTGAGGACAGGACAGGTTGACAATGACACTTGCACACACTGGCTTTGTTTGGGTTTCATCAGGTGGGTCCAAAGTGACAGATTTTGGAAWGAGGGGAAAGTAGGTGACCCCTGTGTGGTGACACAAGGCAAGGCAAGGCAGTGTTCTTGTGCTGTGTGGAAAGGTCGAGCTGGTGTCTGGCTTTCACCCTGCTGAACTCCTGCTCCCTCAGGTACACCTCCAATGGACCAGTGGTCTATGCCATCTTCCTGCTCTGGCCTMGGGACAGTGTCCTGCAGCTCTCCTCACCCATTCCATCCCCACGCACACAGGTAAGGGACTTCAAAAAAGATAAAACACCCCGAGAGCCCATTTTGGGGCATTTATGGGCTGGGAAGGGCCAACCTGGCCTCATTTAGGAATGGAGAGAGTGGGAAACTTGTGTCCTGTGGCCTCCTTACAGATCCTTGCCACATCCCAGGCTGTTCCCAGGCTTTGGCTTATTTGACACACAATATGGGACAGGAATTGCCATGAAATAGGCAGAGGTTCTCCTCCCCTGGAGTCTTTTGATGCTGTTGTTGCAGGGGAGGAAAGCAAATATCCACACAGTAGCTGTTCTGCAGTTCAGATTCAGCTCAGGTGCACTGCCCTGCTCGTKGCCAATGTCTCTGTGACGCAAATGTTTGAGCGCCCTTTGCTCTGAACAAACAGGGGCAAAGCATCAGCAACAAACAAACCCCCAAACAACAAACTGCAGCCTGCTTTGGCCTCAAAACACCCCGTGTGTCACCCGCCCCGTGTGCCACGTGAGCCACACTGGGGACCTGCAGGCTGGGTGGGAAATGCTGGGCTGTGCAAAGGGGGCCTGGGGAGCTCCAGCTGAGTGTCCCTTTCCTTCCTGTGCAGGTGACACTGTTGGGGCTTGCTGGGACTCTGGAATGGCAAATAGTCCCAGGGAAAGGGATGCTCATAACCCTGCCCTCCGTGCTCCCATCTCCTCTCCCTCAGTCTGGCTGGACTGTGAAGCTTGAGGATGTGAAGTGATACCTGTGGGGGGGACACAGCATCTCCCACTGCCTTTCTTTTTGATTGAATCCAAGAGGATTTTTATTTTTCATGTTGAATACATTATTTTTCACTCGAGAGAGTCTCTCCTACACTCTCTGTTGCCTTGTGTTACTTTGTTGTTGGTTGGAAGAGTTGTGATCAGCTACTTTCATCACAAATAAATCTAACAGAATCTTGCTGGAACAGATCTGGAAGAAACCACCTKCAGAAAACGTAACACAAATCAACAAACTTTTATTTATATTGTGGTGGAGGCAGCTACAAGAAGAGTGAATTTAAGAGACCACCGTTGTGCGTTGCACTTCTGAACTTTCAGTTCCAGTGAGAGCAGATTTCCTGCGTGGATGTTGAACTTTTTAAAAAGGGTTGAACGATGTRCGTCTGAGTGATGAAACTCAYGAAAGTACAGGTTGTTGTGAAGGCYCCACAGYGTTGCAGAWAGGTTTTGTTKTGTTCCTGTCCAAGGAAAACCTACCAGAACACTCAGAGCTGAGCACRAGCAGAGCCCCGGGGCTGGGACACGTGCAGAGCTGGTGCTCTGGGGGCTGTTACTCAATGGACAAACACCCCCAGCACCGGCTCCAGAGAACCGGCTCCACCGGAGCACCGCCCCGGCCCCGGCCGTGACGCCGTTACAAACAAAAAAAACGGGGACAAAAAGGGACAACAGAGCGATGGCCTCTTTACCTCACAACCCCATCACGCCGGTAACCTCTGGCGCGGAGCGGGGCCCGTCCCAAAACAAACAGGGCCGTGTTTACTCAGCGCGCCGGTCAGCGGCGAACCCGCGCTATAAGTGCGCGGCGGGCGCGGGGCCGGGCAGTGCCGGCGCGGAACGGGAGATGCCGCGCTGCGACACGGGTTCCGCGCCGCGGGACGGCGCCTGGGGACAGGTACGGGATGGCTGCGAGGGGACAGAAGGGACGGACGGGGCGCGGTGACAGCGCGGTGACAGCGCCATGCCGGTGCCACGTGGGGGGCGCGGCCGCTGTCACGTGATCTGTGCGGACACGCGCTTCCGTGTCACGTGCAGGGGGTGGTGCGGTCACGTGAGCGCGGGCGGACATGGCGGCGGCGCGGAGATTGCTCCCGCGCTGGGCGGGATCGCTGCGGCCCGTGAGGGACCGGGACTGAGGGAACGGGGATCGGGAGCGGGGGC